AAACACAGACACATTACTATTAATTTAACCCTCATAAAGTATCACACTTTAGAGCTTTTCTTCTCACATGGTTCTACTTACATTAGTCTCCCATCAATTTTATGCTTGGAATTGGAGTTCTTAAAGTAAAAAACACAATTAATACTTCCCCCTCCCACCCCCCAAACCTTGGTGAAGTTTCTTTAAAATAAATTAATTTCATACCTCCTACTTTGAATACATGCAAGTTAATACTATTCTACTTTATGGATCATGTAGTTTAGAGGTTCCTTGTTTTATATGATGCTATAGTTATTGTGATATGTTATTATATTCATTGTTTTGCTCAATGTACTGCAGTTACAAGTTCATAAAAAATGAAACTACTTTCTAGTACTATTTTCACAAACATTTTTCCTGTGCATACCATCTCTAAATATACAAGTTACCATTTATTAATGGAGAACTACAGTATATCAAGACATATGGAAATATACAATTCCTGAAATTTAACTAAGTTTCAGTTTACATACTGGGCAATTTATATGTCATGTTTTGAGGTTTAATAGGTTTTGGAACCAGTATTCCTTTCAGGATCAATTAATGGAGAATAACAATGGAAGAGGAAAATTATTTTCACATTCTGTTTGCAAAGGCATGGGAACTCATACAGGAATGATTTTAAGTTGCATATATGCTATGGCTACCACAGCTATCTACAAAAGAAGTAACCCTCCTACAACAATTAATTTGTGGTCTACATGATTGAAATGTGATGCTTAGAGAGTGGTTCAATTAGATCAGCCATTTCCAATTTGGTACCCTCCAGAACTTCCAGAATTCATAGCAATGGATATGGTGGCTGGGAAATTCTGAAAGTTGAAAGCTCTCAAACTTTAATATCAGTTAGGCTGTGAGGGGAAGGCTATTTCTACTCTGCTGTTAAATATGTCACAACAATGAAGATGCCACAAGGTACCTGAAATTATCAGTCAATCTGGACAACTCAGTATACCAGGTTACCACAAATTTGAGCCAGTTTTGTGTAGTGGTTAAGGCATCAAGCTAGAAATCAGTACTGGGAGTTCTTGTCCCACCTTAGGCCACCTGGGTAACCTTGGGCCAGTCATTCTTTCTGAGCACTAGGAAGGAGACAATGGCAAACCACTTCTGAAAAATCTTGCCAAGAAAACTACATGGACTAGACCGGGCAGTCCCCAGGAATCAAACCTGATTTGAAGACATGTCATGCAGACACAAATTAGGGTATAAAGCCATTCACCATAAACCACCCAAAGTCTAATTCTATCACATTTCAATTTGAAAGCTGTATTTCTATAGTTCCTTAAAAAAACAGATGAATACACACAGGCATTCAGATAATAGGATAACTATAATACGGGCATGCCTGTTTTATCATGATAGTGAAATTCTGTCCATTTGTCCATCACCAGGATTACATTCTGAAAACTATAAAGGACTGGACCAAATTTGTTATTGAAGGAGTCCTCTTCTATTCTAAGCTCCTTCCCTCTTGATTATATAATGCAGAATAGTGTTTATGCAGCCGCCCTGTGCTTTCCAGTGCCCATATCATCACATGCAATGAGAGGGTTGAGCAGAAACACATGTAGCATATCTGCACCTGCCTTGCAGACTCTCCCCTCCTTTTGTCTTTGTCTCCTTCACACATACTAATACAGAGGCTTCCTATGGCCACAACTTAGGAAAGAAATTGGAAAGAAGGCCAAAGCCATTCTCTCCATGTTTTCCACAGCTTGTTTAAAATCAGGGAGTGCTTGGACATGATGAATTTCTTCTCTCACATTTCTTGTTTGGCTAATGGATAAAACAGCAAAAGTCCTCTGAGCCAGAATTTTTAATAGCCTTGCCATATATTTGAATTAAATCTTCTCTATGTTACCATAGCTTTCAGAGACTTTCTAGATGCACCATGTAGTGATACTGAATCTTTACTATTTATGTAAACAGCTCACAAGAAATAGAAACATGCAAAGCAAATCATTAGAAGTTTACTTTAGGCTATACAACATTAATGCTATTCATCACAATGTGATATGCAGTGTCAACAAATGGAGATATTCAGGTCACTAAGCACAGAAGCTCTTGTAAATCCACTTGCTGTGACAACAGTTGGCACAAAGCACTCATTTTATGCTGTTTATTATTGACCAATTTAAGGCTTCTTATGTGTCTCTAGGCAAGGCAGAGCAGGATGGAAAGTTTAAATCCCTTCTGTAAGTCATCCTCCTTCTCTACCATCAGGGCAATGTTTTTCCTGACTCTCTCCTACTTCTTCAGTATAATTATGAACTATATCTCTCAAGCAGAAAATACGTTAAGGATGTGAGACTATTGGTTTCTTCAGAATGGAACATCAGCACTATATTATCTTCTCCACAAAGAAAGAAAGAGACATATTCTCTATATCTACTGGGTAAAACCACAGGTGGAGAAGGTGATATTACTTGTAGTGCTTTATTTTGATTTGGAACCTGTTCCTTTTTGTGTGAGAAAGCAAAGGGTTACAGGAACTCTACCATCAAGGTGAGCAAGTAACAAACATTCAGAATGGAGAACATACAATAACATAGAGGTAGCCTTCTCTGTGGGGGCTCCTGCCCTATGGAATGAGCTGCCCCCCGATATAAGAAAGATCCCCAACCTCTGCGCCTTCCGTCGTGCTCTGAAGACTCTATTGTTCAATCAAGCCGGCCTGACCGAATAAATTAATGTTAATGGGTTTTAAATTGGTTTTAAAGGGGTTTTAGCTAAGGGTTTTAATAATGGCCAAATTGCTTTAATTATTTTAACGGTTTTTAATTTTTGTGATGGGTTTGTTTTAATATGGCTGTACACCGCCCTGAGTCCTTTGGGAGAAGGGCGGTATAGAAATGTAATAAATAGATAGATAGATAGATAGATAGATAGATAGATAGATAGATAGATAGAGATGGGCCCTGATCTGGAGTTCAATTAGTTGATTCCTTAATTTAACCTTGTTTGAAAAGTACCTCTATAAAATGAGATTACTTAGTTTAGCCTATTAACCAAGGACCTCCTCACAACTTCCTGTCAGCTTTCAACAACCAAAATCAGTGGAGAATCAGGCTGGCAGGCAGGTAAGTTGCTACTGCTGGGTGTGAAGGGAAGGATGCGAGAGTGTGTGAGGGGCAAGTGTGGCACTGTGTGAGTGCAGTGGGGTTTAGGGTTGCTGCTGTTGGGTGTGTGAGGCTTATCAGAGTGACTTGTGACCTTCCCTGCCAACTTCCCCATTGACTTTGCTTCTGGGAAGCTGGCAGGGAAGATCGCACATGTCAATCACCAATTATGGGATTTTGTGAATGTTGTAAGTGTGTGCTGGTTGACAAGCATTCATATCAGGATCACATGACCATGGAGGTGCTTGGGGGAGGCAGATGTTTGAGGATTGGTCATAAGTGTCACTCATTCAGAACCATTGTAACTTTGAACTGTCATTAACTGAGGACTACCGATGTATCACTTTTGATGAAATCATTGGGTCCTATGGACACCTCTGATTGGGAGCAAAGCTGTTCTATGACACTTATTATCCTTACTATCCTTCAGTGTAAAAAAGCACAATGTCCAGCTGGGAACAAATCAATTGCCTCTCTTCCTTCTTTGAAGATATGATCTGGCCATTATTATATACATAGTGGTTACCTCCTAATTACACAGGTGTAACATGCTATTGTTGTAGCAGTGCCCTGTCAGAAACTCAAAAACCATTCTTAAATTCAGAAGACTAGGTTTCTCCTGGGCATTGCTTGATAAAGCATATGATTCCAATTCTGGCAATGCTGCACTGGTTTCTGGTAGATTTCTGGATCAAATTCAAGGTGTTTGCGCTGACATAAGTCTCTGCACTACTATTAATCTTCTCATCTTCTCATCATTCCCATCGCTCATCTCCTCCCACTTATGACTGTATGACTGTAACCTTGTTGCTGGTATCCTTACGATTTATATTGATATTGTTTCCTGATTGCTTATTTGTAACCTATGACCATCATTAAGTGTTGTACCTTATGATTCTTGATGAATGTATCTTTTCTTTTATGTACACTGAGAGCATATGCACCAAGACAAATTCCTTGTGTGTCCAATCACACTTGGCCAATAAAAATTCTATTCTATTCTATTCTATTCTATTCTATTCTATTCTATTCTATTCTATTCTATTCTATTCTATTCTATTCTATTCTATTCTATTCTATTCTATTCTATTCGGGTTGGCTCCTGCCTATGAAAAGGAACAGCTTTTCTCTTATATTATGAACTTAGAGCTTTGTTTAGGATTTGTTTTGTTTTTTTCATCTGGAAAGGTCCATTTTGAGATGATTAGATTAAGTTGTTTTTGGTGATAACTTCAGTTTTTATGAAACTAACCCCACCAGAAGATCTTACTGTGACCTCCTTTCCACCCCCCACCCCCAAATATGTTAACATTTCTTTTATACTCAAACCTTTCACAAAAAATATAGGGAATGTTTATGGATGATGTGTATCACAACGTTTCAGTTGTTTTACTAATGTTGTTTAGGTCTTTTAATTGTGAAGTTACATGGCCTGTCTATTGTATATGGAAATGGATGGAATAGAAACAGGATAGACAAAAATAATAAAGTCTCCCAGTTTTTGGTTATGCATTCAAAATGGAGTATTACCAAATTATTCAGAGACAGTCAATCTATAACAAATAAAAAGTTGATTACATTAGTTGGACTCAGGATATGAATGGAAAGAAGATGGGGGCTGTTCAGTTATTAGTTTCTCTGGAGTTACCATACTTTGCTTGGAAAGTTAGAATGTAATATTTTGGGGACATTTAAGTATGATTTCTTCTTAGAAATTAATGATATTAATCATTAATTTCATTAATATTAATAACATCAGGACAGAGAATATATTAGTTTAGCATTATGAGTGCTGATAGATAGGAATACATATTTTTTAACATTTATTATGTCTTCTAGACACAAATTTATGCAGTGAAAGACACATGCAGTGAAAGACACATGCAGTGAAAGATCCTGAGATGTAAAGGAATAACAGCAAGATTTTGAGCAAGAATCAGATTTGCAGAGACAAGCTCTTGATTTTTTGCTTTCTAAAGGTACTTGACATCTGGCTATTTTCCACTTATAGGAGTTCTGACCATATTGACAACATATTTTTACGTGCAACCCCCTTTCCCCCCCCCCCAAAAATACAAAATTTGGAAAGAAAATAAGAACAGCTTGAATGCTCAGCAAAATAGCAACAGCCTCTGGGCTTTGGAAGAAGACATATAGGATTAATGTTCAAAGAAAGTTTAAGCTTAAAATGCTTTATTACTTTTGTACTTTTTAATGGTGTTATTTGTTGTGGTGTTATATATTTATTTATCTGAACAGCTAACTAGCATTATCTCTCAACAGGAAGTTCTTGTAAAATGAAACTATTATGTCATGAAATTCATTTCTCTGTAGAAACAATTGACTTGAAATGATGGTAAAGATGGCCCACATACACATTGAATTAGGGCACATACACATTCTTTGCAGATTTGTTTTATTATACATCGATTTGTGCTCGTCTGTTTTTTGGTTTTTTGTTTGTTTGTATAATGTGGAAAAAGATGAATTATTTCAACGTAAATTTTATTTTCCTGAACAAATTTGAAGTGATGGTTTACCATACGCAAAATGTTAGTGTAGCCAAAGCATGACAATTTTGGAAACATGGAATATATTTTATATCCCTAATTCAAATCTGTTTCAAAGCATTATAATCCTCAAGCATTACAATCCCCTATGCATTTAGGCTGCTTAGGGATTTCAGTTGTGTGTACTTTGGATTGACAATAAATTAATATTAATTGTGAAAATAATCTGGGCTAGAAAAGTTGAATATGATGATTCTCTCTTGCCCTAAATAATATATAAAATTTCAGCAGACGGTTGCTTTTTATCTAATAATGAAAAATTGCTATCAAATGAAAGCTTTGAAAGCAGAATGATTGGAACAAAAAATATCAAGTATTACTTATACTACTGAATTCTAAAATATTTATATTAACGTAAGGCAGTATTTGGATACCACTGATTTGGTTGCCTCAAGAAATCCCATCACTACATTTTTTTTGGAAATTCACATGTAACTATCAATGGTGCCAAGGAGGCCTAATAGACAAATGCCATTAAGAGCCATAAATATGCTGCTTTAATTGCTTCACCTGAAAAGCTTGCTGTGTGTGATCTTAAATCACACCATGATTATCAGGAAAATGTAATTAAGAACAATTCCATTAACAAGAAAAGTGAATTGTTCCACAAAATGAACATGTTAGAAGTGACATGACAAATTGAGTTTCATGCTAAAAGTCTGCATGGAAAATAAACTGTGGTAAATGTAGAAATCTTCTGTAACAGCCAGGGGTGAAATCTACTTACCTTCCTTACTGGTTCGGAAGTGCATGTGCCCCGTGTGTGCGCTCACTTCGCTTGCGTGCGTCACATGCGCGCATGGACCCTCTGCACATGCACAAAGGGTAGACAACCAGGTGGGTGGGTGGAGCCTCGCGCCACCAGCACTACTGGTTCTCCGAACCACCCACCATGATTGCTACCAGATCGGCCAAACTGGTCCGAACCGGGAGCATTTCACCCCTGGTGCCAGCTTTCTCCAGCCTGGAGCCTTCCAGCTCTGTTATATATAAAATACTCCACAATTCCCAATCAACATGGTCATATTGGGCAATTTTGGAAATTTAGGTGGAAGAAAGCTGACATACAGTATATTAACAGTGTAATGATATGTGAGAATGTTCTTGAGAGACAAGAGAAGGGAGAGGAGGAGCTAAAATGGTCAAATAAGAGGCAGCTTAGCTCACGGAAGGAATGTGGGCATGGCAAACATCTCAGAAAGGACCATCTAGTTTCTTGGACTATAAAGGTAGAGAAGAAAGATATATTTTCCGATTTACAAGATTCTATTATTGTAAGTTAACAACAATAGTAATGTTATCACTCAGGGTTCGTGGTACTTGTCGGGAGTGCATCAATAGTGACTTGTTCTGTCTCAGTGCTTTTGTAGCCAAAATGGCACCATCTTTATCAGCATGCTGAGAAAAATCAAAGCTGGCAAATGTACAAAAAAATATTGGTGGGGTGGGGTAGGATCAAAGACTCTCTTTTCACACAGGGCAATGAAAAGCTAGCTTGTTTATGGGTTTTTTTGACAGAACACATGGCAGGAATAGTAAAGTATCTGAGTAATTATTCTGTGATTGCTTGGCTGGAATCCTGAACAGAATTAAACTATACTGTAATGCTAAAATATTTGGAATAAGATTGTTGCTGGTGTGGATTGGAACAGTTTCCTGTGTTCTAAGCATAGGTTTCTAAGTATTATCTAGTTTCTAGATATAATGTCTGAAAATCCGACACATTAAAAATTACACATGCAAAAATGCAAGGAAGAAGTTTGGCCTCAAAAAGGAATGAAGCAATGTAATATTCTATTCAAAATATGGCTTAGGCCCAGGATATTTGGTGGACCAACTGCAGCCAGCAACAACATCCCATGGCCCGGTTCGCATCCATAGGGAGGGCCTGCTCAGGGTGCCGTCGGCAAGACAATGTCGGCTGGGGCCCCCAGGGTGCGCCCACCCTCTGGAATCAACTTCCCTTGAGGCTCCAGTTGGCCCCTGACCTTTGCACCTTTCACCACGAATTAAAAACTTGATTATTTGAGTCCCCCCGGCCTGGACTGATGGGGTTTTATACGGGTTTTAACTTTATCTGATTTAATTAGGCATTTTAACTTTGTATAATGGATTATTGTGGTTTTTATTGTTGTGAGCCACCCTGAGTCCGTTGGAGATAGGGCGGCATATAAGCCTAATAAAATAAAATAAAAAAATAAATAAAATAAAATAATTGATGGCTTAGTGTAATGATTTTGATACATCTAATCATCAGTCAATTAGAAAAAAATACTTCACTTAGTTTGCAGCAATGAAGCTCAGTCCTACAAATGCTCTGTGGAATACCCAACATCAAATCTATTACTTTGAACCAAACATAGTTTTATCATAGCCAGTTTGGTCCAGTGGTTAAGGCACCAGCTAGAAAGCAGGAGATTGTGAGGTTTTTTTTTTAACGGCTTGCAAACTTCTACTAGCTGAGGCTGCAATGGTTCGAACTTTGAAAAAGTAATGCACAACAGAATACAATTAGCAAAAGCTTTTTGATTAATTTTATACTCATAGAGAATCAGTCTTTTCCCTATCAGCTGCAGTGAATGCTTGCATTCACTGCAGCAAGCCTCATGAGAGGTCAGCCATGGTGAATCTATCCACGATGGGCTGCCTTTATTGGGCTCTTAAACCTCTCTCCCCTCTTGCCCTGCCCTGGGATTCTTAGATAGCTTTTGGGAAAATAAACCAGAAAATTAATGCACAATTTAGGCATTTTTAAGGAATGGCTGTATATTAGTGAGGTTTAACTACATTGTCTAGTGTCTATAGGTGCCTAATTAAGGCAAAAATGGGAAATAATTACCTAATTGGGGCAAAGTTCCTTATCACTACTCTCCCTCAAAGCAAACAATTAGTGTGCAGCCCTGTGAAGAATACAGGAAGATGCCATTTTGACTAAGCAAAGATTTGTGTGCTGGTCAAAAGAGCAGCTCATGCACAATTCACAAACCTATCCAAATGTAAGAAAGTCTAGCCTGTGGAATCTCACTGTGAAATGAGTAGAGAATCACTTTTCCCTCTCAGAAAAAACTCACTGCTTCTTGTACTTGGCAGTCTGACTGAATTTTCCTTCAGATTACATTACCTTTTCTATCAAGCAATTTTCACTTTCTCCTGGTGCCTTTTACCCCATCTGGCTTTATATTTCTTAAAGGTGCTTCTGGCAGTTTGCTGTCTTCTGTATGGTATATCAAACTGCCATTTAGTAAATTCTTAGCAGAGCTGTATAAGCTGGCAAATCTTCTGCAGCTCATGGGACTTGGATTTAGGGTTCTGTCTAATGAACCTTCGATAAGCCTGTCAAAAAGAAGCCTCCACAAAGCAGACATTATATTTAGAGGCTGTTTACTACACTTGTTTCCTCTGTTGAGTACAGTATCTATTGCATTTCTTTTTAGCTAGTCAGCTAAATAGTTCACGTCTACAAAAGTCAATGTTAGCCTTATAGCTTCATTCCTGAGTACCACTACGGGCAATGTAAAGTGCCCTTCAAATGATACTCCATTGCCTTAGTGTAAGAGAATATGGTTTATTAAAGAATGAAGTTAGCTGATTCATAAATGTGCATTGCAATCTGAAGTGTGCCTTTATTGATATGATTGTTCTACTTATGCTTTGAAACCCAGAAGCTGAACTGTTGGGAAAATAACCTGCTGCACTTAATGAGAGATGTTTAAAAATTCTACTACACATCTTGCCACTGGTTTATATTTTCAGACTAATTCAGATTTCTTGAACTTTCTATGTGTGAATCAGATAGATGATACCTAAAAATACCTGAAGAGACAGAATTCATGCTCTGAATTCCTAATATACAATCTTGAAAGAGCGCTCAGAATCAAAACTTGTCTCATTCAGCATATTATCTTCTGCAGTGGTGATCCTCCTGGTAAATTAATAACTTGGGCACAAGGGAATTAATGTCTCTGGCTCATGTTGCTCAGGACTCCACAGATGCTACATTCAGTGATATCATTAATATCAGGGTTATGCTAGCAGCCACTGATAGCCATATCAGTTATATATTAGTCTATTTTAAACCAGGAGTGTCAAACTCACAGCCTGCGGCCCTGATTCATCACGCACTGGCCATGCCTGCCGCCAATTTAGCAAAGGGGAAAAAAGTAGCGATGCGTCATGTGATGACAACATAGCGCCGTGAGTTTGACACTCCTGTTTTAAACTATTCAAAACTGGTGACATCATCTCCACAGCTTGTGATAGTGGGTTCATTGTTTAAATAAACAGTGAGCTTTTCGTCTGTTTCAAATTGCTCCCCATTCAGTTCTATTCATCCTATGTTCTGCTATTATATTAATGGCAGGGAAAAAATATTTTCCATGTACCTCTTCTGTACCAAATACTATATCACA